CCGGGCACTGCGGGGCTGCGGGCTCGGCGCCCCGGGAGGCGGGCGTGTGGCCGCCGGTGCGGGCACCCAGCCGGCCGCGATCGTGGGGTGAGTCCTAAGTCCTGGGTGCCCCAGCCGGGACCCTCTGCGTGCTGCGAACTGGGTCTCCCTTGATGCGGGCAAACAAGTTTGTGTAGAGGCGGCTGAGAGCGCGGCAAGGCTGCACCTGCTGGGGCTTCGGGGTGGCGTGGGGCGGGGGGGCGCCCTTCCGGAGCTGGGGCCGCTCGGCCAGGGACCGGGAGTGCGAGCGAGTGCTTGTCGGGGTAGCGCTACGCCACAATCGGGCCGGGTCTGGGGTGCGCTGGGCAGTTGCACAAGCCTGGTTCCCCCACCGGCAGTGTCAACGACGGTCTCCTTCTGGGGAGGGCGCCGCGGAAGGACCCCTGAGGGGGCCAGGGCAGGATTTGGGGTGCGCACTGCCTCCCTCCTAGGCGGAGACGTTCACCATTAGCAGCTCCTCGTTCCGCTACCGAGCCAGGCTTCCGGTCAGCGGAGGGTTCCTGTCCTCTCTTGGTGAACTTGAACAGAGGTAGAGGCAGAATCGAAGCGTATGTACTATGTTCGGAAGATTACGCGATAAAGAGCTTTGCATCTTCCTAGGTGTGGACGGAGACTCACGACTGGGTTCTGCTCACGAGTTTTCTTTTGATCCTCAGAAGTGTCCCTGGCAGGGTCCCCTGCCTCAGGGCAGTCTCGCCGCCTGTTTCCTGAGCATCTGTGCATCACACGTGATACCTGATCGGTGCTGGCTCTCCCGTGGGAAGGTGGGGACAGGGAGAGTGACCTCTGTCCCCTCTGCTGACCCGTTTAGGGTTGGTGTGGAGGTTCCAACGCCATAACCCTGCCCTAGCTTCCAGCCCCCTGGCCACTGCTCCCGGGATAGACAGACTGGGTAGTTCTGTAGCCTCAGATGCCTCATCCCTCCTGTTGCTGGAACAGTTGTGCTTGGGTTGCAGGAGGCACTTGCACTGTCCCATGTTTGCACCTGTGTTTGGGATCAAAATGAGCACCTTTTCTTTGAACTACTAGGTTATCCGGCACAAGCTGGTGGGGAGTGAATTAGAGGAGACCTCATGCTGGTTGACCCTGTCCTGTGCACAGCCCCTCCCTTACTGGATGGCTCTAAGTGCTGGACAGAGCGCAAGGGGTGGTCTTCCTGCAGGTAGGAATGGGTTTGTTTCTCCCAGACTTGCCCGCCACACACACACACACACACACACACACACACACACACACACACGGCCCTCAGCAGTCACCTGGAGAAGGAGCTTCCAGGAAAGCTAGGAGTTTCTAGGAGGAACAGCAGACCTGTCCCAGGGACCCAGTGGCTGAAGGCAGCTTGGCTGGTGGCTGGGTGGGTGGGCAGCCTGATTACCTGATCTTCCCCACAGGAAGCCAGTGGCTGTCACCTGCAGCTACATCTTCTAGGCCTCAGCAGGTTTGTTCTCATAGGTCCTATGGGAAAGGCAAGGGATCCCTCTTTTCAGGGGGCACTTAGTACCTTGCAGCACATGTGGTCAAAAGTGAAGAGAAGCCTGGGTTAAGCAGAAGGCCAGACTCCTGTCCCTCCGTCCTGTTAGCTCACCAGGCAGAAGAGGGTAATCTGGGCCACTGGTTGGCCTGCTGCTAAGCCTCAGCCTCAGCCTGGCCGGTTCAGCCGCAGCTCTGCAGACCAAGTCAGTGAGTCACAGAGCTGGATCCTTGTAGAGTTGGTGCAAGCAGGTAGCTCAGAGCCTCCAGGCCCAGATCAAATCATATCTGTGCACAGTATTTCTCTTTGTCGACACTCCCAGCTGGTATTCCCATCTGGCTCATACTCTGCTCAGTCTTGGTGAGACAAGTTCTCTATCCTTTCTGTGGAACTTCCGTGAGATCAAGGCCAAGGACTTCAAGATATGGGGGAGCTCAGACTGTGGTTAGATCTTCAGTGTCTTTATCCGTGAGAATGATAATGATATACACCAGCAGGGGCAGAACTGAGTCCCAATACCTGGAGTCAGGCTGGGCTGCAGCCTGCCCTCTTCCTTTGGGGAATGAGTAGGGTGAACAAGCCCTTCCACTGCTTTTTCAAGATCATGAGCCTCATGATCTTGCTTCCTATTGTTGGATGTAATGTCTCCTCATCTTGCCTTTAATACCACCATGTTGACCTGTGCCCTGAAAAATGATCAGAAGTGTGCCACTTCAGGGAAATGGGTAGGGCCCTACCTCCTTGTGCACCCCCTCCCTCCTGGTGTAGACTTGAGAAATGGATGGAGGAATGGACTAGATTAATTTTTTAAGCTATACAATGCAGTGTATCCCTTGGTATGTGTTAAGACCCTTCCCCTCCACTTCCCTTCCCACACTACCAGAAACCCCTGCAGATGTTAGCCCCCTCGCAGAGGGTGGCTGCCTTCACAAAGGGACCATCAAGGTCCTAAGGACAGAAATGCCCCTGGAGTGTCTTGGCCCCCCTTCCATAGCTGGAGTCCCCACCCCAGTGGCAGACACTGGGCCAGAGAGAACAGGGCTGACTTTGGCAGGGTGCTCCACTCACTAGCTCACATTTATCCACATTCCTCAGTGGAGTTTGAACATCTCTTCACCTGTCACACTCTGAGCTGGGCCTCAGAGAGCATGCAGGTGGAAAAAACACATGAACAAATGAACCAATTAGGGTTAGGGTTAGGGTGCTGCTGGAGTGATAGCTCAGAATTAGTCCAGAAGAGTTTGTGATTGGCTCTGGAAAGAGTGGGATGAGCTCCCAATCGAACAAAAGGAAAATGCTAGTCCCCACATGGGGCTGTGTCTCTTTGAAGCCCCAGCCCCCGGCACAGTGCTTGGAAGGATCCGCATTTGATGTTGAGAAAATAAAGGCCATGTGAGATGGCAGATGATACCGCACACTTGGAATCAGAAAACTTGAGTTCTGTCTCGCAGTAGTTTGCCTTTGTTCAAGATAATTGAACCTCTCTCTGGCTCACATTCTGTACCTATATAATGGGGATAATGATTCATAATATAATAACTTCCTAAGTTTGTGGGAAGATCATTCATTCATTGGTTCATCTGCTCATTCAGCCAACACACTTAATAGTATGTAAAAGTACTTTGCACTCTCAAATGTGGCATATAAAATTTATTATTATATGAACTTTAGCAATAGGTTTACTGAAAGATTGTTCCCCATTTGTAGTGAATGGAGCTTTGACCTTTCTCATTTTTTGTATGTTTTCTTGTGATTGACGAATCGCAGCTGTATACATAAATGGGGAATGATGTGATGTTTGAAATAGGTATACAATGTGGGAATGATACCAGCTAGTTAACTATTGCTTTACGTCTTTTGCACAACAGATTTTGAATCTTTTCCTTCTTAAAGCTTAAATGATAGAGATCTGCTTCTTCAAAGACAGAGACTGCACCCCGTTCCTAGTCCCCAGGCTGTATACCTGCCAAGAGCAGTAGGTTTGTGTTTAGTGGGTTTCTTGCTCCCTTTCTCAGCCTTTGGGGCGTAGGTGCCCGGGATCCTGGAGTGAGCACAGTGGTCTCAGAGGCAGCAGAGGCACTGACTACCCCTGCAAGGGGCCTGCATGCTGGGAGGGGGCTTGGGGACATTAGCAGGCGGCCTGACTCAAGGTAGAACACAATACCCAGTCACAGTCATCATCATGACAGCATTTAGTTTCACTGTCAGCTCTGAAGAGCCCTGTTCCAGGCATCAGGGAAACATCATAGAAGTAGCCTTGAGGTTAAGTCTTGGTGGACTGGAAGCATTTCAGAGTGCTGAGATGGGGTACCGGCATCCCTCACTGACAGGAAGGCGTGCATGCGCTGCGGCGGTGGGGAGGGGCTTTAAGCCTCTCAAGCTGGCCAGGGACATTGTGGTTAGCACATAATGCCTGAGCCTGGGAAGGGCCAGAGGCAGAGGTCAGAGAGGGGAAAGATGGGGGGTCACCCAGCTGGAGGCTCCCATGTGTGGCTTCACTGTGGTCCTGTTTGGTGGTCATTGAGGCTGGGCTCTGAGTTGCTGGGACATGGGTGCTGATTTGCTTGTCTGGAAAGCAAGCAGCTGGGCCCCACTCTTGCCCTGTTCAGAGTGCACAGCTCTGAGTTAAGAGGTGTTCATGGCCTTTGCTGCAGTGGCTGCACTGGCCAAGTTCCTTCTCCTCTCCGCTGCTCCTGCTCTCTGGCAAGACAATAAAGCAGGGTGGGATCACATGACTGAACCCAGAGCCTGTTGGTCACCTGGGCCAGTTCCAGGGACGGCCTCCTCTCCCTGCTGCCACCCTTCCGTCTCTGTCCCCAGCTTGGCTGAGAGGCAGGTGCCATCTGCCCCCTCCTCCTCCTCTCTGGCGCTCAGGTTTGCTGAGTCCCACCTGCCGTAGGCCCCTGCTCCTTCCCTGACACTCGTAGAAGCCCCTCTGTAATTATTTCATCCTCCTCACTCCTGAGAGGGAACTCAGGGTCCCTCTCCTCAGGCCTTACTTTGCTCTAGAATAACTCCAAGACCTCTGGAAGGCAATGAGCAGGGTGATGGATGGGCACTTTTACCTAGCTCACATGCTCCCTTTCAGCAGGGCCAAGCCTCAGGCAAGGGTGCAGTGGGTCCACTAGCCTCTCTGCAAAGTGCCTTGTGTGGCTCTGAGAGCGGAGTTACACTGGCAAGAACCCTTGGGGAACGCTTCACCTTGGAGAAGAACATGGAGACTTCCAGAGGCGGGGGGAGGGGCTCTGAGGCCGCTTCCCACTGGCCCCAGGAGGCTGGGACACTTACCCACATGGCAGCGTCTGGAAGGTTTGGCTCAGCAGACACCATGTGTAGCATCATCTCCAGGAGCTTCAGCTTGGCATGAGTTCAAAATCTGCTGAGAGAAGCACACAAAACTCCTTTCAAGAATAAATCTTGCCTCATGCAAAGCTGGAGTTGGGGTAGGGAGAGAGACAGGAAGTTCCATGGGCACAAGGGGGGGCTCCGGGAGCAGGTGGCTCGGGTCTCACTATTGGCCCTGATAGGCTAATCTTGGGCACTGAGTGTTACCTTGCTAAGGTTAGGGACAGACCTCAGCTCTTAAGCATAAGGAAGCAGGGCTCCCGCTATGTAGAGTAAAGGAGATGGTGCCAGTGAGGTACGCAGCCAATCTAACCTGTTTACTAATGCTGCAAAGCTTAATCTATGGTGGCACTGAAAAAAACAGCAGTCTCAGCATAGGTATCAGCTTCAAGCATTGGTGGGGGGGTACTCAGAGGGAGGGCAGGGGCCACTGAGACTGATTTTACCAGTGACAGTGCTGCTATAGGGCTGTCCTGCAGTTGGTACTTACTCACCTATTTTGCATTTATAGCCAGTACATGCCACAGTAGGTAATAGAAGTGTCACATCCACTCCCTGGTTTCATCCCACAGTAATATCTGCTTATACCTATTTAACAGATGAGGAGCCTGGGGCTCTGCGCCAGACAGTAGTTTGTCTGAGCTAGGCTGCTCTAATGGAAGAATTGCTGGGTTTGGGGTGGGAAGTGGGCACTTCCCATGACCTTCCAGACAGGCACTGGCTCGATCCTTGCCCGATTTTCAGCTGGTTCTGCTCTCTTTCTCACCGCATAGCCTGGCAGTGAACCCTTGTGCCCATGTTCACGTCTCCCCACTGCCACTTTGTTCTGACACTCAACAAACATTTCTGATCACTGCCCTCCTGGCTGTGTGTTGAGATCTGGGGACATGCAGGTAAATCAGGTGTGATCTGTGCCCCCCGGGAGGGCTGTAATGTCAACCTCATGGAGTGGTGACCATGGCAGTGAACGGAGGACAATTTGCAAATGGGAATTTGGTGGTAAAGTGCTGTGAAAGTCTAGGGCAAGGAGACCGGTTCCTGATGCTTTGAACATATAGTTCGCCCTGCCTGCCTTGGCTAGGGTCCTTGCATGGGGACAGCTTTGCCATTTTAAAAGTTGGAGATGATGGTCTGCCTTACAGGAGACCTGGGCCGTGGAACTCTGTCTTGAGAGTGGCATTTGCCTCACAGTGCTTAGCGGACACCTTGCCAGACCGAGGGAGACCTTTTGGAAGGGGCAGCACCAAGCCTTGGGAAGCACCTGAAGAGCTCGAGTGAGACTGACTCCTGACGGATCAGCCCCAGCTGCCCACCCTAGCACGCCTTGGTCCTGCTTGTATCAGGTATCCAAGTCTGAGTTATAGACTGCATATGGACATTACAGCCTTGCCTTTAAAATTCTGAACTCCGGGACCATACCTTACTCCTCCATATGAGCAGCAGTTTTCTTTCCTAGTGAGAATGCCACCTCTCACCTTTCATTTTAGTTTTCTGGATTTTTCACTGATAGGATCCCGACATCCTTTAACTAGAACGCTTTTACAAACACACCTGGGAAGCCCTCTTCATGGAATTACTGGATGGAACGGATACCACATAAAGCCCATATAGTGCCCTGTTCCTGAAAGATGTCAGCTGTGGAGCTGCGTCCTTTGACTGCCATGCATTGCTCCCTCTTCCCCAGATTGTAGGCTTCGCCCCTGCTCTGGATGAGTGGCATTTGAGGTCTGAGCCCATAGGTGCAGGTTTCTGATTATCAGGACCTGTTTATTTTTCTGTGCTCCCATTAATTGAAAAATCACATTCACAAAGCTCACTGAGCAGCCACGCTGTACCATGCCTCAGACTGGGGGCCAGAGTGACAAACATGAACAGAGGATGGCTTCTCCCCTTGAGGTGATCAGAGTCCTCTGAGGATGCTTGAGGAGATGGACAGTGCTAATCATCCTGCTATGGAGTGTGCTCAGATAGGGATCAACATGAGCTATGGGGCAACCAAGGAATCTATGCCTGTGGGTGGGTGGTAGTCAGGGATTCTCCCCCACGGAGCACGGGGAAGGAACTGACACTTAGGCTGAACTTTCGGGGCCGCACAGAAATTGACCAGGTAAAGGGAGGAAGAGACATAAAGGCAAAGGCACAGGTGCTGTGGTTGTTGGTGCCTGTGCTGGAACATGGTGGTGGAGGTACAGCCGAAAGGGCCTGGAAAGAGCCCAGGTTGGCCGGGCCAGATCATGAAAGGGACCCCGTACATCAAGCTAAGGAGCTTGGAGATTATCCCCAAAGCCCCAGGGCCCCATTGAAAGGGGTTTTAAGCAGGGGAGCACCATGAGCAGATTTGCGTGTTAGAAGGATCACCCTTGCAGCCTTGTGGAAGATGGATTGGCAGGGCCAAAGCTGGAGGCAGAGAGATCAGTCAGGATTTCGTAGGATTTTCTCCATGGTTTTACAAATCTGAGGCTCTCTAGGGTGGGCCTGTCAGATACACAGCTTAGAGAGAAAACAAAGGCTCTTAGACCCTTCTCAAATGGCACCCTGCTTCTGTTTAATTCTACCTTCATTTGCTGATTACCAGGCCCATGCCAACCTGTGTTCCCACGTCTCTGCCCTCCCTGGAGCCCTGGAACCTGAACACCCTCAGCACTTACTCAGGAAGGGTCATGCTGGCCCAGGCTGCTTCTCTGGGGGCCTAGAATGCCAGCCCCAGAGCCCAAACATTGTCATTCTTCTCCCACTGTCCGTCTGTCCCCAGTGGCACACAGAGCAACCATTGAACGGGCTGCATGAACCTGGCATGGGTCCCAGGCCACGTTAGTTACGGGCAGCGGCTTAGTCACGCTTCTGGGGCCCTTTCTTCTAGGACAAGCCTGCTCTTTGTGTTGAGGGCCTTCCTCACACGGCAGCCCAGCTCGCAGCAGCTGTAGAGCCCTCTGCCAACCCTAACAGCTTACTTCAGAGGCTCCGCCAGTGGGAACCGGATCCCAAATGGAGCGCTGCTTCCTGAGGAGCAGGGGACCATGGGGCTGGAGTGCTGCTCAGAAACCCTTCTGCCTTCTCTACACCAGGTGCCCCAGCCTCAGTGCTGTCCTCATTCTTTGGCTCTGGCACCAAGGTCCTGAAACCTACTCTCTCCCTTGGGGCCTTACTTTGTGAGAGCCAGCTACCAGTATCTGTAAAATCTTCCAGGACACAGCTCGCAGTCCCAATACACACTTTGGAGTCAGCTTATTGCATGCATGTATCTAGCACCTGCTGTATACACTGCCTACCCTAAAGTATACTTATATATGCAGGTGTCTCATTACAGACTGGCTTTTTCATGAGGATGGGATCTGAATAGCAGGTGTTCAAAACCCTGGCTCTTGTGTTTCCCAACTGTGTGACTGGGAAAATTACTTTGCCTCCATTTGCTAATTCCCACACCTGCAAACTGGGCATATTAGAGTATCTGCCACACTGGACTGGTTAAATAAGACAGAGTGTAACATGTTTAGCTGAGTACCCAGGTCTCAGTAAAGGACTTAGTAAGAAGCTGCCCTTGGTTTTTCTTCTCCTTGTTGCTATTGCTATTATCCTAGGACTTGCAGCACTATTCAAGAGCAGAGCATTATCTCCATTTTATAGATGAGGAAGCTGAGACCCAGAGAGGTAAAGCAGTTTGTCACAAAGCTGTCCAGTGGCAGAGCCGGGGCCTGAACGCAGTCCTGTGTCCAGGGCTCCTGCAACACTGCTGGCCCCTTTGATGATTCAGTCATGGGCCAGTGAAGCGGGGCAGATTCTGCGGTTACATCTAATACTCTTTCTCCGTTTTCCCAGGTTTCCAAGCCAGAAGGTGAGAGGCAGTAGAGGTCAGGGATGGGAAAGCTCCTGACTCCTGCGCAGAAGCTGCAGCTGCCGGCCCTGTGGCTGCTGGTGAGAAGTGATGGTGCCCTCTGAACGCCTGCAGGACATGGTGCAGTAACGGTAGCCTAGGGGAACCCAGGCAGGTGCCAGGAGCCAGTATGCGAGGATGACACCCCCGGAGGCCCTGGCCTCCCTCCTTCCCGGGTGCTAGGAGCCATCCCTAGGCTCCAGCCGGGAGCCCTGCTGCCCAAGGGTATGGCCAAACCTTTCTTCCGACTCCAGAAGTTTCTCCGCAGAACGCAATTCCTGCTGCTCTTCCTCACAGCTGCCTATTTGATGACCGGTACCTTGCTGCTGCTGCAGCGGGCCCGCATGGCCCTCCCCCAGAGCCCCCGGGCACCTGGCACGCTGCAGGCCTTGCCGGTGGCCACTGTGGCACTGGGCGTGGGCCTGCTGGACAGCAGAGGCCTCCAGGACTCCCGGGTCAGCTCGGACCTGCTGCTCAACATGGACGTGTTGCAGAGCCCTCTGGCCCGGCTCCCACCTGGGCTCCGCTGGCCCCGGAGAAACCGCAGCTCAGTGCGGCGCCGCTGGTTCCACCACTTCGTGAATGATCCACATGGGTCACCCACCCTGGGTCCCGAGGCCCCCAGATCAGCCATCCGCAGCCGAGGTAGGTGCTCAGTGGTGTCTTTGGACCCAGGTTCAGGAATTGGTGTCCCCTTTGTCTGGCTCTGTGGCAGCTGGAGAAGTAGACCCTGCAGGTTGATGGCCTTGACAGATTGTACCTTCTTCTGCTCTGTAGGGCCTGGGATGTAAAGTGTGCTGGGTTTTGTTCACTTCCTGTCTGGGATTCCACGAGACTCCAAGCTGAGCTGTGTGAGTCAGTCATCTAGAGCTCCAGCTTTGAGTTTCGACAGACCTGGTTTTGAATCCTGGCTCAGCCACAACTTTGCTGGGTGACCTTGGGCATCTCACTGATTTCCCCAGGTTGCTCTGAAATGCACATGGAGACAACATACTCTAGGGTTATTTTGAAGACTAAATGTGATACTATAAAGCGGTGGTTACCTCCAGTGACTTAAAGTGGTGACAGAAGGGATTCCAGTAAATACCGGAGAGATTATGGTTAGATGTAAGCAGGGCAGACACTCAGCTGCTATCCGACAGCACAGTTTTCTCAGGCAGCTAGGAACACTTCCACACCAGCTGATAGTTCCTGCTCTTAGCCTCTGGGGTGTCTTCTGTACTCTTGACTGCTTCTCCATGACCCAGGAAGGAAAGGACTAACACCAGGGACCACAGGGCACCCTGGGTAAGTGCTGTAATAGCATTTCTGAATGGTCCCTGACACCATGGGTTGTTAAATATTTTGAATATACCCCAGGATTTAAGGAAGAATTTGCTGTCCCTGCAGAATATGAAAAAGCCTGTCTGGGGAAGGCCCTGTGTGACATGGCTGGAGGTCTTCAGAGAAAATGGGACAGCAGGGTGCCGGTCCAGTAGCCCTCCAGGGGCCCTAGGGTCTGGGCTTCCTGTGCAGGCAGGCAGGACTCAGTGGTGGAGAGTGGGCCAGAATGCAGCCCTCAGTAGAGCTGCTGGGGCTGCAGACAAAGCAAGCACCTCTTTGCGGCCTGGGCAACCCGCCACGCTCCTGAAAGGGGATCCTGCGAGCTGAGGAAGCTGCAGGAGGCTCCATCAATCACGGAGCATTTCATTATACCTTGGACAACATCCATAATGGAATAAAATGTCAGTAAGTTTACTAAGGGAAAAATAGTAACTTCTCCATAGCCAGTTTGTTTTTTATTGATAGTAATTTCCAAAGACATTCCAATATCTCCAAAGCCATCGTTAATAGCCTCACGGCTTGTCCATTTTGATGTGCAAATGAACAGATGTGGAGTCACAGACAATAATGCATCACCTCGATATCAGCCGAAAGTAATAAATCCGCCTGGGGATGTGTCCCAGCGTATCCCTCGAAAGTTCTTTCTTCTCTGTGTACTCTTGCCTCTGTCAGGAAGTTAGGAAAACCATCAGTTATGTTTCAGGGTAAAAGGGCTCACCTGCTACTCACAAACCAGAGGGACCATCTACATCTCAAGTCCTGGCCACACAGGAGAAGGAGCCGGGCGGGGGCTTCCTCTCCACCCTAGTCAGGCCCATAACTGGCCAGGCAGTAACTCCTGGCCACCCCTTGTGTTTACATCAACCGAGCCTGCCTGCTAGAAACTGCTTTTTCTCTCCTTTATTAATGTGCTAATTATTCAACTGATGTTTGCTGATTCCTTGTCACACTAGGTCCCCGGTTAGAATGTAGGATCAGAAAAATGATAGTGGTTTAGTATAGATGTAATCTGTCCCCTCATTTAATTTCATCTTGACACAGCCTTCTGGTGTGAGCAGTGTTCTCACTATTTTAATGGTGAAGAATTTGTTTCAGGGAAATAAAAGTCATTGGGAAATTTTCGTTATTAATAATGATCTATGAATAATAAAAATAATAATAATAATAAAAATGATTGCTACTGAGCACTTCTATACCAATCCCAGTGCTAGACACTGGATTGGTAAGTTTACTAAGGGAAAAATAGTAACTGATATATGAAAAAAACCAGAGGGAATTGGTCTTATGAAATTCTCACAACCAATCCATGGCATTGGCACCGTGTTCCCATTTCACAGATGGTGAAACTGAGATTCATAGAGGACAAACTGCACATCCCAGGTTACACAGGTAGCTAGTGATGGAACTGCGATTTAAATCCAAGCCAGTCTTTTCCCAAAGGCTCTTTCGATTCATTTGCCCAGAAATATGTCTTGTTTCTGCCTCAGCCTTGGAAAGTTTTGAGCCCAGGCACTTTTAGAACCTTGTGGTTAAATTTTCCAATTACAATGATAAATGTTTTGAGTGTTTAATTGAAAGCAGTAATGAACTTTCTTCTTTCATCAGAAATTTCTCATGTAGTAGTTTTCTTTTACTAAGCAGACAAAGGAGAAAAATGCATGCCCACTGCCCTGGGTGGGGTTTTGCAGTGATGCATGCTGTGTGCCGCAGTCCTGAAGCTTACAGGAGAGAGAAGCTAGCAGTCCCGGGAAAGGGAAATAGCAGGTGCTGTGCTCAGTACACTGGGTATGGCCACAGGTGCTGATGAGCATCCCTCCATGAAGGTGGCCCCAGGAGGCTCATATCTTGGTGAGGGGCGCCAGACTTTTGACAGATATGAAAGAAGGTGGGTGTGCACTCACTCTTCAGCCCTGGTGTCCTCTGATCTGAGGGTCTTTCGGTTCTTTGGATCTTGCACCCGTCGTTTTTCTCCTTGGGTATGCCTTTCTTAAATTAAAGCCCTGGGAACTGCACTCAGTACAGACAACAGGCCCATCCCCTCCCTGCATTTGGCCCACGCTTGCACCCACAAGACGTCCCGGTGTGGTTCTTAGGAGCTGTAACCTGCTGCTCAGTTAGGGGTCGACGTTGACGTTGCGCCTAACCCTGATGAGTCACCAGCTAGGGTGAAGGCAGGCATAACCCCTGCCCTCCAAGAGGCTCCAGTCATGTTGCAAAGCCAAGACACGGATTTAGAAGATTTTTAATAGCAGCAGTCAGTGGCAAGGACGTGGCCGACAGATGAGTTATTCAGACAAAAATCCAGAGAAAAGGGAGGCCGGATTGACTAGAGTCCAGGTCTCAGCCTTCAAGGGGGCAGGAAGCCCAGAGTGGACTTGAAGGAGAAACAGTGATGGATGCAAGGGTGGGGCAGGAGAAACGAGCCTGAGTAAGGGAGGTTTAGGTGTCAACATTTGTGGAGGAAACTGAGGCACAGATGGTTAAAGTGACAGCAAAGTCAGAGGTGGAATGCGGTGTGGCAGTGCTCATACATGTGAAAACCACCGCCTGCCGAGGGCCCCAAGAGCGAAAGGACAGTGAACCCACTCCTCCCTGCCCCTCAGCATGTGGCCCTGGGCCACATTCTTGGCAGGAATAAAAGTGAGTTTTCCCTGCCCTTAGGGAGCTTGGGAAGCATTAGGCCATCAGGACTTTGCTCCTCACCAAAATGCCATGTGGGAATGACAGGCTGCCTAGAAGCCTTTGACCTGCCTTCCCAGGACAACCTAATTTCTCTGGAGGCATGCACACCACAGGTGACCTTTCAGAGGCATCCATAGTTGAATGCTTAAGGTTTTGGGGAGATGTGTGACATCTTTATCACAGCTGCCCAATCCAGATCTCCGCACAGCTATTGTGGGTATGCGTTCACAGCTTGGGGACCATGTGGTGGCATGTTTGCAAATTCTCAAAGCGCCATTCCTTCAGAACCCTCGTGTGTGTGATTCCTTCAAAACACTGGAGTGTGTGACATTTACATGCCTGATGCCGCGTGTGGATTGTACTCCAGTTCTCTGAGTTTTCTGTACATCTCCGCAAGGCATTTCCTTCCCCAGGGGGACAGGGCAGGACTGATCTGACTTCCACTGGCCCCTGCCTGGTCAGGTCAGTGTCAACCCTGCCTCGTGTCATCCCCTATTGTCACTGGTGGATGTGCCAATGAAACTGCAGAGGGCTCCGTGGCCTCTTGGCCCCACTGATTCCCACATAAGACCCCATCTATATTCTCCTAGACGCTGCTTACACACTCCAACAGCGGGCATCAAATGTCTTTATAAACATAGCTCCCCCATTTTGAAAAATCTTTATGTCAGCTACTGTCAGCTTTTCCCTGATTACAGACTATCAATCTTCCCACCAGCCCCCATGGAGAATTTTCTCTTGGAGAGGCACAGGGAGCAGGGATGGGGAGGAGGTGGTGAGGGCCATGGGAGGCTATTAAACCATCCAATAAATAGGTAAATAAAAAGATTTTTTAATAGTTAAGAAGATGGAAATGCTAAGTACCCTGGTTTGATCACTGTACATCATATTGGATGATCAAACTATGCCCTGCAATGTATACAACTAAATAATAATAGTGAATTTAAAAAACCTAAATGCAGACATGGGCACTTGGGGAGTGGTGGCAGAGAGCAGTAGCCAGGCTGCTGCTGGGCTTCTGGCAGAGCTGGGGGAACAGGACAGTGGGCCATTAACTGAGAAAAGGGCAGGATATAAACAAGTGGGAGAAGTCCAGCTGCCTGCTTGGCTCCCACACCGAGGGGAAGTCGGACTGTGGCCCTCGCCCTCTGTGTTTCCCTGAGAGGTACCTAGGCCAGGAGGGCTGGAGAGTCCCTGGCCTTCCCTAAGGGTGAAGCCTCTCCTGGGCCTCTGATCGCCGCTTGCCTCCCTACAGGAACCTACCTCGGATGCTTCAGTGACGAAGGCCAGGAGAGAACCCTGAAGGGGGCGGTGTTCTATGACTTGAGGAAGATGACAGTTGCCCATTGCCAGGACGCATGTGCTGAGCGGTAAGTGCTGGGCCCACTGCTGCTGGCTGCCCTGGAGACGAAGCAGGACTCGGTCCCCAAGCCGGTGATGCCTTGGCTGCAGTCAGCTGCCCTAGTGTAGTGAGACTGCAATCAGTTTGCTCTCGGTTATCCAGAGGGAGCTCATTGGCAGATGGCATGGGCTCTGGGCCAGTGTCAAGAGACCTGACTTCTAATCCAGTTGTTCCAAGGACTTCTTGTTTGACTTTGATGAGTTTTCTTCCTTCCCCAAGCCTCAGTTTTCTCTTTGTGTGAAATAAAATGAAGACTTTTAACATAGATTTTTCTGAGGCCTTTTCCACTTCTGGCAGGACAAGTGTTCCTATCTTGCATTTATAACAAGATTTTCCTTTTCTGATATTGCTGGCTTACCCAGTAGTTAGGTGCCAGGGAATGGGCCTTATCACTGTGACAGTCACAATTTACCATGTGTACACATGCACACGTGTGTAGGAGACAGAATGGCGTAAGCAGGCTACTCTTCATCTGTTTTATCTCCCTAGATTCTTTAATACATTTTATGTCATGTAAAACCTCACAGCCCCTAGATAGAAATTAATTATCCCCATTTTATAGATGACAAAACTGAGACTAGAAAAACAAAGGATAAGGTCCCTACTTAAATGCTTTGTAGCCTAGGTAAAGCTGAGGACAAAACAGTCTCATTTTAGTCTCCTAACAGTTAAGGAAACTGACACTTAGATGTAGGAAGTGACATCAGGATCTCACAGCTAGCCAGTGGCCCCACAGGGACTGGATGCTTCTGTGTGGGCTCTCGGTCTGGGCTTCTTACACTAGGATCCACTGAGAAGGGAGTTTAAAAAGGTTGACTGTGTTCTCTCAGTGCAGTGCTGTGCTTTATGTAACAGGTTCCATCTCAGGTCTCTTTTGTCTACAGCTATAATTACATCAGGGGAAGTAGGTGAAGAAGTGGCCGAGGAGAAGGGACATGCAGCAGGTCTTTAAAACAGGATGTGCTGTGTGGCTGGTGTGTCACACCAGGGGGTGCCTGGGACAAACTTCAGTTCTGAGAGCAGCTGTGAACCGGTGACTATGGTGAAAGTGTTTCCACCACAGCAATTGGCAGGCGCTACCTACAGGACCTGCCCGGCCCCTACCAGAACCAGTTTCCCAGCACACCACTGATTTTGTTCCATCAAAACCTGTAACATGGATGGCTCAAGACAGACCAGTGTGGCCAAAATGTGTATTACAAAGGAAAAACTGGTTCCTGAACTTAGATGACCTTTACTTCAGGATGAAGACTGATTCCTCAGGCCAGCCTTGTGCTGATGGTTATGACCCCTGCCTGTCCAGTGAGACTTGAGACTTCCCCTCAGCTTCAAGTGCAGACCTTATCTCTCCAGACCCGGCTGCACTGCCTGACCTGTACTTTCCTGTAATTAGGACCTCAGCCCATGCTCGGGGCGCCGGTCCAGACTCACCCCTTGGTCTCCCGCAGGTCCTACATGTATGCCGGCTTGGAGGCTGGGGCAGAGTGCTACTGCGGGAACCGGCTGCCAGCTGGGCGCGTCGGGCTGAACGAGTGCAACCACGAGTGTAAGGGCGAGAAGGGCGCTATGTGCGGGGCCGTGGGCCGGCTCTCCGTGTACCGAGTGGACATGCTGCAGCCGGGCGCCAACAAGCGTGAGTGGCCAACCTCCCTGGAGCATTGCATGTCCCACACGCTCCAGCTGCCTCTGCCCACAGCCTCAAGTCCATGCTACACGGGGCAGAACCCATGCAGTAAACCCTCCATTCCCTGTACGTTCATGAGACCAGCTCCTGGCAGGCGCAGAGGGCTGAGGGTCCATCAGAAACCCAATTGTTTCAGTTTATGACAGAGGCACGTCTTTGTTTGTTCCTTGCAGGAGAAACTTGGTGGGAGGCCTGCGTGTGCCTCAGACACGCGGTGTGGCCTCAGACAGCTCATTTCCTCTCTCTGCGGTTTAGTTTATTTTATAAAGCGTCACTGGGAAGAACCTAGATTTTCAGCAGTAGGCGGACCTGAGAATCTAAAAGTTCCCTATCTATAAAACACCCTAAAAATGTGGATAAGATTTAACCAGTATCAATTTTTTTAGTTTTAAAAAATATTTACTTGCATTTACAAATAACAATTGCATAGATGCAACTTGACGTATGATAGGCTTAGGTGCTGATGAGCACACTGTATTTTGAAAAACTTTTTAAGCCATTGCATCTTAGCTACTGAGTTCTTACTTTTTTGGTAGTCCTGGAAGTGAACCTGGGGCCTTTGTACTGAGCTACATCTTTGCCACTTTTAAAAAAAATTTTATTTTTATTAGTATGTTTGCAGTATCTAATGATTACATCCATTGTGGGGAATTGGTACACGTACACCCCCTTCCTCTCCCCTCCCTCGCTCAACTAGCAGGAAAATAAAGCAATCCCTCAGTCCAGAAGCGAAAAGTGAGCTCAGAACCACAGTGGGAAGAGGAAGAAACAATGCTGTGTCCTGGATTTCAGTAAAGCGAAGTTGGCAGTTCAGGTAGCCACAAGGCCTAGGTTTTAACATCTAAGCAAGACAGCAGTGAAGGGCTTGGGCCTTTCATCCAGTGAACTGGATGGAAGCCTGTGCATAACTTTTCAATAGAACTCAATTTTACTGAAGCTTAGATATAAAAAACCATAGTAATAATAAACCACATACCGGTTCAGGGAGATAGAATGAAAGCTTATCTGTTTTGACTTGAGCTTCAGGTGAAAAAACAATTTTTTGGTAAGAATTTGTAACTATAGTCCTGCATTTGTATGAGTTTTGGGGTTGAGTATAAAAGTTGGTTCTGGGATACCTGGAGATATCTGGCAGAGGCAATGCAAAATCTCTCTTGAGAGCTGTCCCACTGACGTAGGCATTAAGGGTTCTCACAGGAAATTCTCAGTGAAGATGAGCTTACAGTTGACCATTGCAGAACATAAGAGGAAATAACCAACCATGAGGAAAAGTCAGCAGATATGTCAATCAGCAAGAATTTCAAATAAGAATGCTGCCAAGTAGAGGACATCGAAGGGGCCCAAGTAGATGAATTTGAAACCCAAGATGGTCCTTATTATAAGATGATGAACCCCAAATCCACTTAATCTAATTACAAAGAATTAGAAATTATGGGTTGTGCACATTCGTACATTCTGGAAGCCATCTTTCCAATGACGGGAAGAATGAGGGTGGGAAGAAGTAAGACTCCTCCCATAGCATAAATGGAGACTTCCCCTTCCTCTGGAAAGGGGACAGTGGCAGCACTGTTCAGCATCCAGGAACCTTGACTCATAGGCACAACTGCCTTTGTCTTTGGTATTAGTAACAGGATTCCAGGGCATAACCCAGGAAACAAGGTGTCACATCAGAAGCTAAGCCTATAGAGGGGTTTCTGGGAGAGCTGCTATAGCAGCAAGGAAGTTTTCCAAACAGTGCAGAAGCCCAGCCCTGTGCCAGCCCTGGCCACTGTATGGGGTCAGAGTGTACACAGAGCAGTTTGGCCTGGACATCTGAGGTATTCTGGTGCTTCTTGTATTCAGTCAGTAGGTTCAGATGAGGCAATGAGCGTACAGTGGAGACCCTGACAGTATACTCTAGCTTAATCGTTTGGCTCAGGAGGCCATTAACTCAGCAGGTGCTCACTGACACCTGCTCAGCACAAAGCTCTAACCTGGCACAAGGTTTATCCTGGACAGTCATGTAGGCCTCCTGAGGACTACACCGCTCCATGCAAGTTCCTTTGATCTTTCATTTCTTTGGGTTCAAACATTAGCCTGTCCCCTCATTTCTGACCCCAAGCAGAATCAGGCCTGTATGTAAATTCTGGGCTGCCCACCAGCCTCCCTGTCCGCTCAGACACCGACTCTCAGAGACAGCTGTTTTGCCGCCATTGTCCATTGGCTAAGGGACAGATGGCTTAGTTATTGAGGCCAGCAGCAGACTTTGAGTCCACTAGACCTGCTGGTCATGGCTAATGCTGAAAATGTGGTCAGTGTTGCTCTTTAGAATAGGCTGTGGAGTCTTGTATGGCTGACCTTTGCTTTCCTGCTCCCTTGTGAAGGGACTTGGCTGATGGAATCTCTGTCAAAGGTAACCGGGTGACCACTGACTGTGAATTGTAGCTTCTGACTAGCAAGAGGCATTCACAAGGAACAAGACCTGTAAGCAGGCTTCAGGGTTGAAATTGGGTTGGTCTAGACAGCTCATTAATGCCTTCCCCTCAGCAGTGTAGTTCTGCCCTGGGTGGCCCTCAGGCTCTTATCCTGGGAGTGAGGGTGAAGGCCATAGAACAGGCTACATGAGATGACATATCAGTGTCACCTAAAGGCAGCCCATGTGACCTCATCACATGTGACTCCCCTGTTGCAGCCCATGCAGTGCCCTCCCCTGCCTTCCTTGTTCAGCATTTATTGGGCACCCCTTGTGTGTCAAGGTCAGCTCGCTCCAGAGAATGCAGGATAACCAGGGCACTCTTCCCCCAGGAACAACATTCTGGAGCCCTTATGGGTCCTTGCTGCCCCTCCCTGTGGCCTGGACTTACTAGAATGCTGGTCAGTCTACCCTGTCTGTGTCAGTCCTGTCCTACCTACTGTCCTCTGACCATCTGCTCCAGTCTGTTTCTCACCTCACTACCATCCAACCCAGTGGTTGGCTGAGTACCCCACCCATCAAGATGTTGGGTCTTTGGGTCCAGCTGTACCACAGGCCCACAGAGAGTCTTGTGAGCTGGGTGCTTACCATCACCCTCAGCCTGCATGCCACAGTCTGGGGCAGTCAGTCAAGAGATGGCCTGTGAGTGCCCAGTGCTCCTCAGAGCTTGGCCCTTGGCAGTGTGGAGGTAAGGAAGTGGAGTCCTCAAGTCCATGACACACCAGAGTTGCAAGCTGGTCATAGGCAGTGGCTGGACCCAAACCCACACCCTGAGGGTACCAACTGCAGCTATTTTCTCTGTACCAAGCAGCTTTCCTGTGTCTGCCTTGCAAGGGCTGTGCCCTGTATTTGAGACCACTGGTCCTATGGTTGATCTGGATGGGCTTTCAGAGTCGGAGTTTGGTGTTGCTTTGGAAATATGGCATGCAAAGAGCCCCCTCCCTGCTGCATGGCTGAGGCTGGTGAAAGGGTTTTTGCTGCTGAGCAGGAGGGGCAGGCAAAAAGTGGGGAACATGCTGCGCTCTGGAAGACCTTCTGTGAAAAGGAGTGTGAGATAAGCATCAGCACATCATCTAGAGAAACTCTGGTGAGTCTGGAAGCTATCTGAGCAGTTGGTGCCAGAACATTCCAGAAGGTTTGTTCAGCACCAAGGGAGCCAGCGAGAGAGCTGGGCTTTTCCACCAGAAGGTCTGGAGAGCAAGTTGGCAGGAAGCTTTCTTTGTGCCATGGGTTTGAGGAGTATTCCTAGAATTCGGGTGGGAGTTCAAGAGCAGTGGGAGGCCCGCCTTGCCAAGAAGCAAGTGGTCTGCAACTGTGACAAAGGCAACGGGCAGGATTTCAGAGGTTCAAGTTGCTTTTCTTGTAGTGCATGTCATCAGAGGACACAGAGTTGTCCACAAGTCACCCACTGTAGAATCTGGCACCTAGTAAATGTACACTGCAAATCTGTTGGAGGAAGGAAGGGAAAGAGAAAGGAAAGACAAGCAGATACCACCTGCAGAGAACTGACAGGACTTTCAGGGGTGACAGCAAAAGCAAAAGCAGACTTTCAGGGGTGACAGGAGAAGCAAAACCTGAGCTCAGCCATTTGAACCAAGTGGTCCCTTATCAGTGACTCTGGCTGAGCAAGGTCCCAATGCCTCTCTCTCAGAAACCTGGCTTACCTGCATGCCCACCAGACACAGTTTTTCCTCTCTGATTGAAGATCTGCTCTCTGGGTATATTTGCACCTGTCTCAGGATCCAAAGCCAGCATGTTTCCTTGTAACCGGCACCAACAACCATGAATACCATGTCTCATCAGAAACCCATTTCCTTCCCCACAGGGCGGATGGCCACCTACCGCGGGTGCTTCCGACTGCCAGAGAATGTCACACACGCCTTCCCCACCTCCCTGATCCAGGCCAACATGACCGTGGAGATGTGCTCAGGATTTTGTTCCCAGAAAGTAAGACCCATCATGATTTCTCAACCTTTTAATGATCCAGCGTGTGAGGTGGCTTCCAGAGAAGGGAAGGTACCCATCCTGGGCTGTGCACATCCACGCTGGCAGCCTGGGTAGGAGCTGAGGAGCGAAGTGTGGGAGAGAAGCAGGCCGTGCACCTGATGTCACGGGAGTACTGGCGGTTAGCTCGTAGCCACTGTCAGGCATGGGAGGCTGAGTAGGGAATTGTCGGTGAAAGTTGTAAAGCTGAAAGGAATGTGCCTTTCTGGATGTAAGCTCTTGGAACAAGTGTCAGATGTTAAATTGACTTGGTTTGGATGCAAGAAGATGCTGGCTTGGGACTTGGGGACAGCTGATGGATTTTCTGTTGTTTGTGCTGACAGCGTTGGGCTGTGAATCTGACTGCAGGGGCCATGGGCACACCTGCTCCTTTGGTTCAGGAGTAGAGTAACTCTGCAAGGGCTAGGCCGGGCACCAAAAGCGACTGTCCAATATCTGTTCTCACGCGGAGTTTGTCAAGGACAGATGGGGCGCACAGGAGGAAGAGCCAGAAGAGTGTGAATCGAGGCTGGTGAGACCCAGCAGGCTGTGTCCAGAGATCGCTGAGGTCTTGGGCTAGGGTCCAGCTGTCTCCAGCTGGGTCCTGGCTAAGGCTTTACAAATGGCCCTAGGTAATATTAGGCTGGGGCTCAGGACTGCTGCAGATGTGCTGGGGTTCACCAGCCTTAATGGAGCACTGCACAGCATCTGACAGCGTAACAGACCAGATCCAAGGAGAGTGGAAGGCCTTGCTGGTGATTATGAATATGATGATGACGATGACAGTGACAGCGAGGATCACAGAAGCTGACATTTACTGATGGTTTATTCCAGGCCAGGTACTATTCCAAGCACTTGCCTGTGTTGACTCATTCACTTCTCCTAATAACCCTATGAGATAGGTACTGTGATAATCTATGTTTTGCATTTGAGGAGATAAGAGGGAGGGAGATTAAGTAATCTGCCTGAGGTCACAGAGTGGTAGAGCTAGAACTTGACCTCAGCTAGCTCCACAACCTGCTAGGTAGCTTGCAGGGTGCAGCGGGTCCTCTTCCAAGAGGCAGATGTGACAAGTGTATCTCTAAACAAGTATATCTCCTGCCGCTCTCCCCACCCACCCTGGAGGCTGCCCTCTCCCTGTCTCCCTGTTCCTCAGCTCTCCCAGGATGTCTCCCTCCCCCCAGAAAGTTTCCCCTCAAGGGTGGAGAACAAAGCCTTTCACAGGTGCATGCCTCCTGCCCAAGCCTTTGAAGTGGCTCTACTCTATCACCAGCATTTCCAGAGCCACTTGCAAGGATACTTTTGGGTGTCAGGGTTCACAGGACACAGTGTAGCCAGCCCAGAAGGCAGCTTATTGATTTGTAGATGTCTAGTTTTGGGGATTTCTTTGCCTTTCATGCTCATGGGAACAGAAATGTGGGAGTGGGGGAGGCAGTGCAGATACCTGCTCAGCTGCTAGCACCTGCTTATGTCCACAAGGGAACAAGCCACCCCTCAGGCATGCCTCCCACCTGCAGCTCTCAGCAGTTCTCCAGAGAGACCTCCCTGCTGGAATCAGAGGAGCTCTGCCAGCCCAGAGCAGGCTGAAGCAGGCCTCCCTGGGTCAGCAACCTCAGACAGTCCCACCGTGGCTTTCCCATGGGGCTTCTGCTTTAATCCTCCCAGCTGTCTGCAAGAGGAACTGTTCAGATGCCTGTTTGCTACAGGAGGCAGTGCAGACTTTCAGGGGTGACAGCATTTACCATCAGGCTCCAGGTAACCAGCATTGCAGTCCTGGCTCCTGCACCATCGCTCCTTCCAGCAATGTGGGAGGGGCGATCAGCCACGCCACAACTTCTCTGTGTGATGGGAGTAAGTGACAGAGGACATGAGAAGAAACAAGAGGAAAGGGAATGGGCAGCTGTGGTGGCTGTGTGCCCCGAGAGCTTCAGATCCGTTTTGAGTGGGCACTGTGTTCACGTGGAACCCAGTACCAAGATGCCCAAGTTTCTCCTACCCAGTTCCCACCCTTGGCAGCGGCACAGTGTGTCCTGGCTTCTCCTGTCCACTTTCAGAGACTGGATAGTTAAGCAATTACGTCTTCTGTTTTGTTACAAACCCCACAGACGGCAACAAGCCTTGTGCTATTCTGCACTGAACCCATTCTGCCGGACAGTCCACCTTCAGTTGTTCTGTATCAGTGCAGAAGGTGGTTTCTTTTTCTTTTTTCCCATTACACAGATGTCCTATAATTTATTTAACCAGTCCCCCACTGTTAAGCATGTAGGTTGTGTCTAGTCTTTTGCTTTTACAGACAATGCTGCCGTGACTGTCACTGGGTCACTAAGTGGATTTGTTGAAAAGCAGCTCTTAGAGGAGATGCTGAGTTAAAGAGCATGTGTCATTGTCATTTCAGTCAACTTTGCCAGTTCGCCCTTGGCAAAGGTTGTACTAATTTTCTACCCCTTCCAGCAATGCGTGAGGGAGCATCAGCCACCCCCGTCGTCCTTCTTTGAGGGAAGGCAGTTCAAAGCAACTTCTTGGGAAGATGCCCCGTATTCTGGGGGTGCTTCCCCTTAGGCAGTGCATTAGCATCCTGAGAGTTCTGCCTTGTGGTTATGGACAAGAATTTAAAGATTTAAAACTCTTCCACTTCTATTTTCAGCCTTTCTTCATATTTACTGGCACAAATCCAGATTGCTGCAATTTCACAGTGAAGTATGTGCCAAGAGATACCCGCAGGCTCTGGGTATCTTAAGCCATTTTGCACCTTAGCACCTTGTCCAACTCCCTTCTGATACATTTCAAGGACAAGTTACCTGCTCAGCCCTGGTGTATGCAGCGGGGAATTGCTCAGGTCGGACGCACATGGAAGGGGCGCCCTGGGTTCTCAGAAATGCCTGGGTCTCCAGGCACAACGCGTTGGAATCCGTGCTGATGACCCGTCCCTTACCCTGACCAGTCTGTATTGTCGGATGGGGCTGGAGGGTGTGTGCTTCCTCCGGTGCTATTGTTTGTAGCTGCAGGATTTTGCAGCTGTAGGAACAGTCACCATTTCCAGCTTTGAAGCTGAAAGCGGGTCTCAGCAAAGCGTATTCAGAGGAATTTGGCAAAACACATCTGCTGATATCTACAATGGGTAAACTCATGTGCTGGGTGCCAGCAGATCCCAGTGCTGGGTGAAACTCAGCCCCACGCAGAGTGTAGAGTTTGTGGCTAAGAAGGGACTGAGACAGGAACTCGGGTGACTCACACATGGCAGAGTAAAGCCGGTGCCTAAACAGGGTGGAAAAATTTGGAAGGAGACTTAGAAGGGAAAGGAATTACAACTTTTAGGAGCACTGGGGGCAGTGTTAGTGGGTGGATAGAAAAGTGAGGAGTGCATTTTAAGAGGGACAAGTGAGGGCAGGACCAAGGTGGAGGGAGAGCAGCCAGTGTGGCCTGAGTAGAGCGAGCATTGCATGAGGTGACGTGAAAGGTGGGGTGCGGACACACTGCAGAGGGCCTTGTATTTCTGCCTTAAAGTTCAGACCTTTTTCCTCCCCGGTGAGAAGCAGGTAGCAGCAGACAGTGTGCTAGAGAGGCACAGGCATGTCTAGCAGGATGCTTTACAGCTGTAGGAGGGATGTTCTGGAGCAGGGTGAGTGGTGGAGCTAGTGAAGGATGGAGATCTAAGAGATGCTACAGAAGAGGAATTCACTTGAGAGGATGTGGGAAAGAGGAATTCTCTCTGTGGATCCCTCTGAGAGGTGGCATTCCTCAGGGTCACCCTCAGAGATGCCTTGTCTGCCTCAGAAGTCAATCTAGGACCTGGCTCTGGAGTTAGGGGCCCAGGGAGCAAAAGAATAGTGCCTGGTGTCATGCATCCAGGTAAAACCACTGTCTATCCTGCCAGGTTCCCAGGCTGGCTGTCTTTTCCCTTGCCTCAACTCGTGGGTGTTGGTAACTTGGACTCAAGCCTTCACGGTGGTCAGCCCTTCTACCCTCTGCCCTGGATTCTTGGTGGAAATAATGTCATCCTAAAGCCACATCTTTCAATCTTATAACAGCTGATTTTGTGGGTTAGAGAATTCTATTTTAGGATCTGTCTTTGTGTTATAGGATATTTAGCAGTGTCCTTAGCCTTTACCCATGAAATGCCAAGAACAACTCTCCCCTCATCTGTGACCATTCAAACTCCAGACATTGACCAAGGTCCCCAAGAGGGCAAAATCGCCCCGATTGAGACCTGCAGCACTAGAAAGCCTGCTTGGATATACGGTCAGCAATGTCCAGGCTAGCTCACCTCCCCACCTGTTCACTCTTGCCTCCAAGCTTTGAAATCTGGGCATGAGAAGTCAGCAGAAGTTCCCCTGATCTTGGCCTCAGCAGGGTATCGTTTCTCCTTTTCTCTGCTGAATGCTGAAGGTGGTAGAAAAGATGCACATGGGGCATCTAGCTGTGTTTTCCTGTTCTACTAAAGTCCAGGTGCATTCTCTCTGGAAAGGCTGGTGATCTTTCCATTATCCCAGCAGCAGCTTTATCTTATCCTCATTTGGCTAAAAAGCCGCTCAGATGTCCTATGAGGTGGGAATGGCTCCGTTATGCCAGGCCCATAGACAGAGCTATAATACAGCCATTGAAAATATTTCCAAAGACTTTGATGAAGGAATAGGCTCCAAGGAGACTGTTTAGCAGGGCAGAACTAAGCCTGAGGGTGGGAGGCCAGGGACTAAATTGGGACTGACTGGACAGTAGGGCTGCTAGGGGATAAAAGAGGTACAGCTGGGAAGCAAGAAAAGAGAGGATGCTCTTCTGGCCTCACCCCTACTTTTGAGCTATCCTCTGAGGCTTATTTGTGACCCCAGATAATCTTTTTGCCAGTTAGTGAAAGGGGATTTAGGGAGCTCTGCAAGTTGTTGAATTGGGGAGGTTAGAGGAGAGGTGAGAAGATTTGGGGGGGATATCAGCATCTTAATGATTCAATTCTCTGCCAGCAAGAAGGA